CGTTTTTGTGCTGTGCGTTTTCAGTGCCATTAAGTAAAGATATGAAGTACTGGTCTATTTTTAATCTTTTATTTATATACTTAACTCTTAAATCATGCTTGTGTTATTAACAGTTTAGTGTCTCAGTTATAAAAATGTATCTTTTCTAGTAGGTGTGAACCGTGAACACTGACTTCTTTAAGCATTGTGGCTTCATAATGTGCTTTGTTCATTTAGTGCACAATGAGATGTTATTGTCTTGTTTGTGTTATAAGCATGAAAACATTCATGCATATGACATAATTTGTCACACCTCACAAGCACAGGTAATAATTACTATTTAGATGCAGGTACAGTAGTCTACAAGGAGTAGGGCTTACTAGACCACAGCTAAACAAGTTCAGAAGTATTAACAATTGAGAAATTGTTTAAAAAATAGTTAGTAGACAAGTGTATATAGGATTTGCACTCATTCACTTAAGCTCTGTTGAAAACCTCAATGGGTTTCCCCACAATCTCTCAAAACTGAATAAGGACCCTGTTTCTATTATTGTAGACCTCAGATCGTTGCAGGCTGTCCTTCAGCGTCTAGGAGGTGGTGACTTCTTAATTCACCACAGCAGGAGTTTTAAAAGCTGCTTGGCATCTGAGTGCTTTCAAATCAAAGGCAGACGTGACAGGACTCGCACCTGCTAGCATTCACGCGTATGTGCCTCTGTCCGCTTACTCACAGGTGAAGTCTCAGCTGCACAGCTGTATCAGTAGACATCTGGAGATCCTTCGCTCTCGTGAGGTCTGGCTGCTGGAGCAGATTGATCTGGTGGAGCAGCTCAAAGGAGAAACTTTACATCAGCAGCTACAGCAGCTTCATTTGGTGAGTTTTAAGGAATTTTACTGAGCATTATTACATTTTCAGTTTGGACAAGAAGTGATCATTTGTACACGCAGCCATATGTTAGTGAGGAAAATTGAGCTGTTATTGCTGAGAGTACAGTTTTTTTTTACAGACCCAAAGTCAAGACTAAAATAAAACCGTACAGGTACTTTTAGATCTGTATTACAAAGCAACAATTCTGAGAAATGTAATCTAAATATTGACTCTGAAAACTGAAACTCCGATTTAAAGGAGAAGCTGTTCTGCTTTAGTTAAGTTACTGTAAGGCTGAAATGATTATTGTTCTCTCATGGTTTTTTTACAGCTCAAAGGCCAGTTTGACATCCTCATTCATCAGCTGGAGTACTCCAGTAGTAACAATCTTGCCACCCAGCTCACCAACTGCCTGGAAAAGTAAGAACCAGATCGACCTTTCTAGAATGATTTTGTTTTTATATATCTGCTTCAGCATGTTAAATGACTGTTTACATGTCAAGATAGTCAGCAGAGGTAATGTAGTGGTTTTTAATCTCTCTGTGAATCTCCAAGCAATCTACAATAATTTTCAACCACAAAATGTCTATGTAAATGTTGGAAATGTCTTGGATAATAATGGGTTTAAAACTCGTCTTTTGTCATTCCAGGCTTTCTTCTCTCAATCTGACTCCAGAAGAAACCCCAGAGATGAGTTTCCAAGCAGATGCACGCAGCTTGCGCCAGGCTATCACATCCTTTGGGACCATTTCCACCCAGGTTTGTGGAATTGCAGACTTGGACACCAAGGCTTGTGGTTAATGTAGATTGATAGCTGTAATAAGAAATCCAGTAAAAATACTATTTTTTTTTTATAGTATGGTAACTGCCATTTAGGGCTAAAACAGTCCTAATATTTTTAGGCTTTTGACAATGTATCTCATTGTGTTTGATCTAAAATGGCTTCAATTTGAATGATTTTTGTCTAAATTTTGACCAAACATTCACCGTAGCCAAGTAGATTCAAATAGTTTAATGCAAGAACTATAATACAGCAATAATCATTTAAAAATAATCAAAGCATGTTTTCAAAACGGTTTTCATTAGATGAAAGCATGATGTTTAATCGCTTTTATTCATGTGCACCAGTAAAACAATACATGGTAATAAACAGAAGTGTTTATCTATACATTGAATTATTTTAATATACTGACACTGTTTACATACTTCTGATGTATTCCATGTGCTTGCATTACTTCCGACAACAGTACAAATTAATTCTGAACTTTCGTGCTCCTGTGTTCAGTGCAAACAACCTAAAGCAGTTTAGGCAATGGATGTGTCTGATGTAGACATGTTGTGAGACTTAAGTGAACATTTTCTGACAGAACATATTGTCCAGTTATTAACATTTGATTGAAATGTCCACTGATTTTTGACAGGATCACAGTGTAGCCGGGGAGAATAGAGTGTGTCAAAAGACTATGTCCTCATACCATTGCTATAAATAGACCTGTGCACTCTTACACAAAGCACCCGCATTCATAACTCTTCTCTGCTGCTGCAGATGGAGACCTCATATTCTACTGAGAGACCGAGGCTTCTCCAGGACTGCCCAGTTTCTTGCAAGAGACAGGTTTGTTTTTGATGTTACACTTGGCCTATGTAGCGTCCTGCTTGTTCATTTGCATCCATTGTAAAATACCTATCTTGTTTACATAGAAAGTAGCTCCTGAATGGGCCACACCTCTGGCTGAGTGGCTTCTAGGGAACCGTTCAGTAAGCAGCACTCCAACAGGACACCACTTCAGCACAAACTCCCAGAACTGGCTGCTTGTTTCCAAGGAATCTCAGGTAAACTGTTAAATAATTTAATTTTTCTCGTGTAACCATAAGGTGATGATAGTCTGATATAAGAACAGATATTTCTAGCTTGTACTTATTTGAACAATGTCTAAGAACTTGGTA